GACGCGTTTCAGAAAGGCGGGGCATAGAGGAGAAACAATAATGTACATTATGTGGAAAATAATGTGTTTTCTGAACCTTAAACCGCATAAACACATTTCATTACACCAAATACACAAAATACTGTTCTTTTTAGCAACATCATATGACCCCTTTAAGCTGAAGTTAAGCTCCAGAGAGACAGGAGGGGCATAACTAGTGTGAATGCAGTCTGAGTCATCATTAAATCAGATTAAAGTAGTTGGTAAATGACTCTCAGTTTTTCAGATAGACAGTGATGTAAATATAAATGTAGTTTGTGTCTCAAACATCCAGCTGCTGTGCTGCATCTGTCTAGTGTTGGTGGCCATCTAGTGTTAAGAGAGAAATCTCCTCCTCTCTCTCTCTGACTCCAGCTATTCTCTCTCTCTCTCTCTCTCTCTCTCTGACTCCAGTTATTCTCTCTCTCTCTCTCTCTCTGACTCCAGTTATTGTCTCTCTCTCTCTCTCTCTCTCTGAGAGTCTGATGGAGTTTGGCAGCTCTTGCTTGCAGCCACAGGCCAGCCTAAAGCCATTGCAGATGATAGTTTTAATTGCTTTCAATCTTTCAGGCAAGTCCCTGCCTACTGGCACCAAGTACTGCTGTGTGTGTGTGTGTGTGTGCGTGCGTGTTCGCTGTGACTTTAGCCGAGGACCTCTTAGTGATGATGGCTTCTGGTAAAATAACTACAGAAGTAAAAATGAAAGGTTTTTAGTTTGTTTGTGTAGATTGTAGTCCCACACCTCCTGATAAAATCATGAAAATGATGAATTAACATATTAGAAATATTATTACATATGCTGTCGACAGATGTGATGCATATACAGCCAACAAAAGAGTAGAAATAATTCAGCACAACCACATCACAAATCAGTCTTTGGTCAGAAGAGTTTATAAATGTGTGTGATATATTATTATCTCTAGCAGTGGTTTTGTATGTTGGTTTCAAACGTAGTTCAAAACTCTGAATTAATATTACTAAAAATGTAGTATTGTTTATAATATAATATAATGTGATATAATAATTATTTATAATATTTTTATTCAGTCCTCGGAAATAAACTTCTAATAAAATGTCTAGTTCAAAACTCTTAATAATAATGTAATATTATTGTTTATAATAATATAATATAATAATATAATACAATAATGTTTATAAATGTTATTATTTTATACATAAATGTATTATTTAAAAAAAAAAAATATTATTATTATTTAGAATTTTATAAATTATTTTATAAATAAAAATAATATTAATAGATACATTCTTAATTAATATTAGTAATATTTTAATATTATTGTTTATAATATAATATAATATAATATAATATAATATAATATAATATAATATAATATAATATAATATAATATAATATAATATAATATAATATAATATAATATAATATAATATAATTTGTATTGTGTCCTCCAAAATAACCTTCTAATAACCATATTTTTGTAATATATTTTGGGTAACCAGTGAACAGAACTAAGCTTGCACACATTCAAACAATTATATTCAAGGCAGATTTGAACTGAAAGATGCTTTCAGGTATTTTTCATAAATGCCAGGTCAGGGCAAGTTGTCACATTTATATTTGGGTATTGAATTTTTTATTGTATTGTTGTGCTTTCAAGTTTTCAAAAAATCCCAAAAGTCATGAAATAACCTATAATATATTTTAAATATGTTGTGGAATATGTATTAAATTTTTTGGTTGCAAATTAAATTGGTTTATGCTATCATATGCAACCTGATTTATTAACAACATAGATATATGAAAGTTGATGTACATCTAATAGTACTGTCCCAGAAGTCCTTAACAGTCACTTGTTATGATTGGATGAGCACTGGCCATCATAATGTTGTTCAAAAATACACTGTTAATATTGTTAGTACTACACTAATAGTGATTTTCCCAGTGAAAGTCACTCATAAATCTGTCATCTTGTGCAGATTAATTAATTATCTATTACCAATACTCTGATTCTGAGCATTAATATGAGGGTCTGTTGTTTGTTTTGATCTTCTGACTGACAGATTAACCTTTGACCTCGTCTTATATGGTCTGTCTTTGTGCAGCTTTTGCTGTGTTCATTATTTATGCATTTCCTTTAGCACTTAAGCATGTTTTTGTGTGTTCATATGAGTCGTACTTATATTTGCATATGCGTGCATGTGTGTGTTTGCGTGCCCGTCTCTTAGCCATGAGGCATATTAAGCCATAACATTCCCACAGTGAATAATCTCTCTACATGTGATTTTTAATCATCTCATTCTTGCTCTGCCGTCTCTCTCTCTCGTTCACTGGCAGCTTGCATATGTTCACAAGGGTGAGTGACGACACCTCTGAAATCATCTAGGGGCGACGGCAGGGGAATTCAGCGCTCAAAGGCA